AAAGTATGTGGATTCGGTGCGGAAACTCTAAAAACCTCAATCTTCTTATTTAGAAAAAATACTATGTAGATCACTGAATGTGATGGTTAAATGTAATTATAATGCTTACAAATTTGTAAGTGGCATCAAAAATCATATTATAAATTCACAAATATTATTCTTGATGCATTTCTTATTTGGAATCTTTGCTGACTCTTAGAGACATTTCCATTGTGAATAATTAAATTTGCTGCCTATCCAGTTATCCAATTTGAATGAACTTCATATTTTATAGAGCTTATTGAGCTCTACAAAATAAATAAACAGTTCATTCAAATTAGAAAACTAGATGGGTAGCAAATTTACTCTTTATTCACAAAATCAACATAGTCTCGGAGGTAATTTTCCTAGCAAAGACCTTATTTGTCTTATATGAATACAATTTTATAATGAGTTGCCTGAATCTTTATATACCGATAAAGAGTGCTCAACTACCTGTATACCACTAATTATAGTACTTCAGTAATAATTACAGAAGTTGGATGTTATAATAAAGTAGTACTTTATATAGCTCAATAAGAGTCTTCTAAATTATCATTATGTTCTCATAAAATATATTTTACAATAATCAGCAGCATAGAATATTATTAATAAAAAATTCTATCACTATCGTCATGATTATTATTAACATGAATGAAAAATTATTTTCAGAGTACGTAATCTAAGCATTATACACTGTGAGATAAAGGATTTTAATACAACAGATGATATTAATAAATATATACTCTCTAAGTTAATACAAACAAATACAATTAAATAATAATAGCTATGAATTCGAATAACTTATTTTACACACTTGGATTTGTTATAGTTACAAACTAAAATAATGCAAATAATACTTTTCTAAGTTAATACGAAATGAATAAATATACATATCTAAATTAATATGAATAAATAAAATGAAATGAAACAGTGAATACTTTACAAAAATCTTACATTTTTGCGATAGCATTGAAATATTCCAGATCTTGTATAAATTAGCATAAATTAAGTTTATAGGTCGCCAAGAGGAATTTTTCATAGTAAATCGCAAATTTAGTTTCTTACTAGCACTATTAACGAGGCCTTTTGACGAATACGAAAAATTGACAGTTTTTCTTAAAACCTTGTTAAAACCTCGTTAATAGTGCTAGTAAGAAACTAAATTTGCAATTTATTATGAAAAATTCCTCTTGGTGACCTATAAACTTAATAATTTATACTAATTTATACAAGATCTAGAATATTTCAATACTATCGCAAAAATGTAAGATTTTTGTAAAGTACTTCTATAAATCAATACAAATAAGATATGCAATTATTTGCCAACAATAAGCAATATATAGTGCATTATTAGTACTATGTTAGCAAATTTAATAATTTATTACAAGATTATTTCATTATCAGCATCTTTAAATATCTAATAAATTGGTTAAATAATGGGAGTTTTTAGGCCTTTATGATTACTAAAATATTGATAATATATTGCTAATATTAGCATTTTATTAGCATAATAATTGACAAATATATTTATAAAATTAAATTATAGTAATAAAATGCTAATAAAATGCCCAAATTTGCAAAATTTTGTATTTTAATAGTACATTATTAGCACTGTTAAAATTTTTTATTTTTAGCAAGTTCAATTTTGACAGATTTTGTAAAGAATCTAAATACCTAATTTTAAAAAATATGAATAAAATGAATTTTGTAATAATTGTAGCAGATTAAAATGAAATGAGGAATAGTGTAAAATAGACAAGTCATTAGTGTTTAGAAGCAGATTTTATAATAAACAAGTATAAGTGGGTTTTAGAGGGTCAAATAAAAACCATCATTTCATTTTAATCTGATTTCATTATGATCTGTAACAATAATTAGTCATAAACCTGAATAGCTTGAATGCTTAAATTAATAAATTTTATTTACACACATCTAGATTAATGCGAACAAAATGAATTAAATAATATACATTGATAAATTTAAATCTTGTTTAAATACTTAACCAATTTTTTTTATTATACTTCCTAATGTTGTTAGGCGAAAACCTAAAAGTTTCGCCAAAGACGAAAGGCGAAACCTAGTTTCGATCTTCCAAAAAAAAATTAAAATGGTGAAATGGAGAAGTTGGCGAAAGGTGGTGAAATTGACAAAACAATAAAAAAAAGGTGGTGAAACTGGTAGAAGATGGTAAATCTAGTGAAGGAGGAAAGAGTAGAAAGTAATTAAAGAATGTTAAAACACTTTGGATATATAATTATCAATCTTCTTTTTCTACAAATATATATTTGATATTATGTATTATATATGTTACCAATTTACCAATTAGTTTATTTTACTAACATTTATTTTACTAAGAACTTATTTTATTAATAGGTTTTTTTAAAAAATTATATTAACCTTAATTTTAATTCTAAACCTGCAATAACCAGAATTGCTTTGTTGGTAAAATAACTATTAATAAAATAAACTATTAGTATATTAAACTATTGATGAATTAAACTGTCAGTAAACTAAATTGTCAGTAAACTAAATTGTTAGTAAAATGAGTATTGGTAAATAAACAGAGCCCAAAATGCGTTTTTATTAGAAAAAAAAAATATTGGAATTATAAAATCTGAGAAATTGCATTTAAGGAAGCCAAACTAAGCAATAATAGTAAAAACTGTATTTATAAATATTACTACCTGGGTAACTTACTCACTAATGACCATGTTAGGATTTCGGAATGGATATAATCATTACTTCTAGCATAGGCTCTTACACAACCCTAATATTTAATTTTAACCTAACAAATTTAATTTGACACATAATATGCATGATTATGCTACCATATACAATGCTTTTTAATCAAAAATCAAAATTTTACATTTTATTCAATGACATAACAACTATTTCCTTAAAGTTAGCCTTGAGATTTAGGGCTAGATAAAATAAAGAATCGGGAAATAATTGTCAGTAATAATAATGTTAGCGAACTACTTATATATGTATGATATTTAAAGTTTTAACAATGAAGTGTTAAAGAGTAAAAATCTTAACAATATAACAATAAATTTTATTTTCTTTTAATATTATTCGAATACAAACAAAACGCTATCACTTTGCTTATTGTTTTTGTACATTTTTTTTTATATAAGCTACATGCTATGCTTATTAGCCACACAAAAATATTTTTTCATTAACATGTCTTATTAACATGGCTCGTTTTTTTCAAGTTATAGAGGATTTGATCTTTAACTTCTCCAGGGGTTTGCCAGAGTTTTGCGCTTTGCCAAAGTTTCGCCATTTCGCCAGAGTTTTGCCAGTTTCGTTTTTCGCCATTTGCCAAAAATAGTTTCACCTAACAACCGTAATATTCCCCTAAATTAATGTGAACAAAATAAATTAATTAGCAATTATTTATGAACACTAATAGCTTATTTTAAATATTTAGATTAATAACTTTTATTATACTTATACTAAATTAATGTGAGTAAAAGGAAACTAAATAGTAAATATTTATAAACCTGAATAGCATATTTAAACAGATTAATAAAATTTTCTTAATACTTAAGCTTATGAACTAATAATATAAAAAAAATAGTAAATTGGAAATATTCATGAACTTAAACATATCGGCTGATTTGCGGAATTTTAAATTAGAGTGTATTTTTTTAAATTTTAATATCAAATAACTTTTTATAAATTAGTTTATTTAAAATAATTTTGCTATTAAAATATTCTTCTCTTTAAGATGACTTTACACTTGTTAGAATTATCTTAAAGAGAAGAATATTTTAATAGCAAAATTATTTTAAATAAACTAATTTATAAAAAGTTATTTGATATTAAAAATTAAAAAAAATACACTCTAATTTAAAATTCCGCAAATCAGCCGATATGATATAGTAGTTGTTTTAAATGCTTAGATTAATAAACCTTTATACTCATGCGTTATGTACTAAATTAAATAGTAAATATCTATAAAACTAAATATATATATGTAAAAATTAATTTGAATAGCTTATTTTAAATGATTAGTTAATAGATTTACAAATTGAAATAATAAATAAATATTGGAAAAATTATACATAAGGGCCCGAAAGATGAAAATAATTACTAATCAGGGCGCAAAATTAAAATAGTTACATATAAGGGCCCAAATTTTGAAAATATTATAATCAAGAGTCCAAATTTATCGTACGTAATTAATTAATTAAAAGTTTTAAGATTTATACGAATGTACATATTATTTTTTAATCAGTATTGAATCTAGTTTCTTAATGTCTTGCATGTAAGAATTATAACTACTTTTGCCAATTTTTAAAAGTAATTGAAATTTCTCTACGAATACAGATGAGTCTTTGCGGTTCTAAATTTCTTCGATTAATACACAGAAACCATCACAAAATAATTTTCACCAGTTTTTGGCATAGGATAGATATGTTAGTTTAGAACTGAATAGAATAAACATTACAAGATTGATAAATATTATGCTTAACCTATTTGAATTGTATCTTGGTTAAGAAAAATTTCATTAAATAAAAGAATATAGTATAAAATGTATAAAGTAATGCATATTACGGTGATAACATTCAAAGAACTATTATCATAATGCAAAGCTATTTTGGCTCTAAATTGTAAAATTTTTGTCTATGAAAGACCTCTATAAATGCATGGCATATAACACAGATTTTACCTCTCTAAATGCGATATCTCTAATGCAAGATTTTTTAATCACCTGCTATGCATTTAAAGAGATCTGAATGTATGTAATTATTTTTACTTCAGGACCTTATTTGCAATTATTTTTATTTTTCAGGCCCTAATATGTAATTTCCCTATAAATATTCGTAATTATATAATTTAAAAATTACTTATATATCAAACATACGTTATTAATAATATGAATAAAATCAAATGAATTTAATAAACAAATCTTATAAAATGTAGCAAGTACCATAAATATAAAGGGAAAAAAGCAATAATTACAGATTAAATTAAAATCTATTAAAATCTAATTTAAATTTATCTTGTTCTAATCTGTCTATTTTCTTCGCTTGTAATTTAATTATTGCTTTTTCAATCTCATTGCACATCTTATGATAAGTAGTAATTATAACTTTTCCATTTGATAAATTAGCGGTTCTAATTAGAGTTAACACTTCACTATGTTTTATATCCCGGATTAACCCGGATATAAAATAAATCCGGATTTAAATTACTATGTTTTACTATAATTTTTGACAAAATATCAATCCGGGTATAAATACAGTATATCCGGATTGAAGTATTAACTCTAGTTCTAATTGCCGCAGGTTATATTCTATGTGCTTCCACACGACTAAAAATCCTAGATCAAAGTTCCCATCTTGAACTGTTCTAACTTCATATACGGTTTCTCTTTCTAATGATCAATAATTAATTAGCTTAGTTTAAATAGTACATATATATTATTGTCCACGAAGTGGGCAATATCTAATTTATTTCCAGTTTCTTATTACCTTTCATTATAATATCTCGACCTTCATCATCATAGCCTCTAAATTATTAAAATACTATAAGTAATGTTTCATAGTCATATATAGCTTGGCACGCATTCTTATTCACCATGTTAATCCCCGAGAAATCCACCGTGGAAATCAAACAACCAAGAAGAACGATTACTGCCAAAACAGTGGCCACGGTGAGCTTTCAATTCTTGGATATTTTACGTTGACCTGGCAGCGTAACTTCAGAATACGTAATAACTTCACAAAACTTGTGAGTAATACTCACCCAGTATGAACAACTTCAAACCCGTGTTTAGCAAATTTAGCAAATTTAGCTACTAACAAATCTACACAAAAGGATTCAAACCTTGAACCCAACTCTTTATTAGATTCCTCTTGAATTCGTTCAAAAACTAGTTGCATTTATTTGTTTAAAAAAAAAAAAAAAAAGATAACGATAATAGAATTTCAAAAAGAATTATATACTCACCTATACAATTAAAAAAAACAGTTTAGGCAAAAACTTGATATTCAAATACTCGATCGATCAAGTCAGATGAATATGTTGTAAGTGGAATCCAATTAGAATCAACTTAAATTTTATTCCCACCTATCGCTATGACAAATATATATATATATATTACAATAAGTGTCGCCAAGTTACGTATCGGATTTTCAATACGTATTAAGAAATGAATCAACATTCTGCTAAATATGGTTATGAATTGATAATGATAGGTTGTGGGTAAAATTTTTTCACAGAAATTATCTCATTTTTCCGTATAGCCTGATTACTACATTTTCATCAAGTATAATAGTAGCCGGAAGTGTGTATAAAAGTAACTTTAGAATTCTTGCCTGTAAATAATAAAGGGTTTTTCGTACAGCATCTACTGTAATAAAATACTCTCCCGCATAATTTATGCTGCGCCCAAAGTTAATTTGCTAAACACAAATATCGCTCCGGATCCTATCATTTTCCCGACAGCCACTTTCCCGACATGTTAGCCCGCATTAGTTTAGGTTAGTGTTAGTTCCGGTCAATTTTTGTCGGGATTTTGTTTGTCGGGAAAGTGTTGTCGAAAAAATGATGAAGACCCATATCGCTCACCCAATTTTGATATAAAATAATTATAGAATTATACAGTTAATTAATAAAATTAAATAACCCAGAAAAAAAGGTAGTCGATGATTTTGCTAGCTTTCATATACTTACGAATACTGATTGTTGAATAAATTGGGAAATTCTTTATTCAATGAGAATAACTTGAGTTTCTTTAGTTATAGCGAATAAATAAAAATAATAATTAAAATAATGCGAGTTTAAACAGTTTATATGAATATTTATATACTATATACTAAAGTAACTTACTTTGAATACACTGATTACAACATAGATAACAAATTTATGAATTCACGAATTTTAATATATTGGTTAAAGGATCTTTATATATAGCTAAGTAAACGTGAATAAAAAAAATACTAAGTTTTTTGTACTCACCAATTTAAACTAACAAAAGGCAACTTATTTAAGTGATCAATCGAGATACTGAATTAACGCGAATAAAATAAAATTAAATAAGTATAGCGTTGAAACGATTCTGAGAATTGACTGACTGTTTCTTTAAAAAAATTATTTATCTTAAATATATTCTCCTGTTTTAAATCACTGAATTTTTATTTTACAACTTCCCAATCAAGTTGCCTTGTGTTTTAGATCCATTAATAACAATTTTCCAATATTGTATAAATGCCTTAGTCTTAATCTACCCACTTAACAACAAAAACCAAACAAAATTAGCGATGTAACTAATTATTATGTTTGGTTCAAGTTATTATATTTTATCATTTAAATAAGTTGCTTTGGCTTTTAAAAAATATGACACTTTATTTTGTAAATTCAATACAGTAAATATTTTCGAAGTCAAAGTGAAAGTCAAAAATGAAAATTTAAATCAAAGTGAGAGTCAAAGCAAAATTATGGTAAAAGTTAAAATCAAAGTGGAAGTTAAAGTGGAAGTCAAACGAAAGTCAAAGTTAAAATGAAAATCAAATGGAGACAAAGCAAAACTCTTCTAATGTTTATTAAGCATAAACACAGGCAATTAATTTCAAAGTCACATGTAAGCACGCAGACAATCTGGCCACCATTTTTTCTTGGCGATGTTATAGAACACAAGATAATGATTACAACCATTGTCATACATACATACCAACGCGTATAATTGTCAAATACTAGAAATTTATTGAATTGCGCATTATTAACAAGCGAACTATACTTCACGATGATAAACAATAACGAAATAATCTACGTAGTAATTTACTCCACAATATTTATAGCAATTCTACACCATTTCCGATTTACAAGACATGAAAATAAGTTTTTATAATATTTGTAAGGTCACTAAATATTTCATAAAGATATTCATTCGGAAGCTGCTCAATCATTTTGAAAACGAAAAGTTTATGCCCCGTATGTACATACGTACGTTATGCTATAAAGTATGCGCATCAAAAAAGACATTTAATTTGCATAATTGGTACAACTGTTACATTCGTTATAATCACTTCCAGTCACCACACAATGGTATGTATATCACTTACAAATAAGGAGATTGAGGTTTTTAGATTTCCCGCACGTATTTTGTTTTACCGAATAAACGCATAACGATAAGAAAATTACCCTCTGTATCACCTTAGTCACATTGAACTGGTGATTATATCGAGGTTTGACTATATAATGCTCGCTATGGACCTATACATATATTTGATCTACGATTTTAACGTATAACAATAAAACCGATTCCAAATCCTTTTAATACGAGCATTATCTAATTCAATATACATTATGTATACCGAGCAGGGACGGTGAATACTTCCATTAAGAATAAAACGGAATAAAATGATAATTATAGCCAATCAAATCTCGCTATTAATCACGTAATAATCACGTAATAATCTTCGGAAATTGAAATTATTTTGAAAATTAAATTTTGGTTGGCTAAAAAGTTTTTTTTTTGGTGGTATCGAAACAAAATGGAATAAAATGGAATAAATGGAATAATTGATGTTAGTATGATAAATATATCCCATTTGATAGCGGAATTATTCCCTGTCCCTGATACCGAGGTTTACTATACTCATTTGACAGGCTATACTATACTGGTTTACTATATATTCCCATTTTTATAATTTAAAATGAAAAGTTATATATACATTGTAGCTTGTAATAAAAATTTATTTATATTCCATCTAGCGAAGTAATTCTAATTCCTAATTATAGTGCCCACAAACTGGTCAAAGTGAATAATCATCAATAATTGATTCAAATTTTTTCACATGAACACTATGAATTCAGATATTTAAAGTTGTAAACTTCTTTTTAATCTCCTTTCTTCCTTGCACAATTTCAGCGACTCATTATCCACGATCTCACTCAAGCCAAAATCAATAAAAAAGTAATGGCGACTCTTTGGTTCATATAGAATATTTTGCTTTGAAATGTCATTATGTAGGACGCCATAATTATGTATTGACTTGAGTTGATTGACTATTAATTCTTTTTCCTTTTTTGTAAGTCTTGACGGGTCAATATGATGGGGGTCCTCAATTAATTGTAACGCTAACGCAAAAATATATCCGTTATAAATGTAACCATTGTAGAACAAACGTGGAATATCACGACCTAATATCAATATTACAATAGACAAGTTAATATTATCCAAAAATATTATGAATGAAAAAAAATTGTACCTTGACATTCTTTTAAAATAGAATATATATGAGCTTCATGTTTAAGCGTTTTCATCTCCTTTTGTTGCTTATATACATCACAAGTCTTCCATGCCACATCATGATTGTCATAACATCCAGAAAAAACTTTTCCGAATGACCCACCACCTATGTAATCACCTACAGTAATAATTCTCTTTGATGAGCTTGCAATTGTTTCACTACCGCTCTTTGATTTTCTCTTCCTCTTCCTTAAACCAACATAATCACCATCAGAGTCATCAGGGTCGTCATAATCATCAGAATCATTGTAACTAGAGTCATCATCATCATCATCATCATTAGATGACAAATTGTCAAACGTGCTATGTTCTAATCTATTACCAACAATATCATTAATGGCAAGTTGGCTGATATAGTAAACGCATTCGCGTAAAGTTGGAACAGTATCAGTGGGTCGAACAACACGAGTAACATAAAGGGTGGTTGGTGATGTTTCTAGTCGCTTAAGAAAGTACGTATCGCTATAATTTGATAAAATACCATAATGGAGACCATTATAGGCCATTTCACCAAATATCTGCGATAGGATCCTTTTATTGAATTTAAAATTTGGATCCATAATTCCACGCCGGTCGTTATATCGATAAATATCCCAGAAATTATAACCGCGTAAATCAAGATTGTGACGCGTTTTCATTTCCACCGGCATCTTGGCCACTGTATAATTATTGGTGCATAAAACATAGTCAGAGACACCCAAGAATCCGGCAGGTGTTGCACAGAATAATCCTTGTGGCAATAACCCTTCGACAGGAAATAATACGTTAGTATATAAACGCGTTCTTGCATCGTCTTCGACTCTGAGAGGGTTTGCATTGGTTGCGAATGTGGGGAATTGTCCAGCCGGAAGATTATGTTGTTGTACACTCCCCTGACATTGATCACCGGAATTTTGATTTTCACGTTACCTAATGATGATCGTAGCTACATATGTAACT